CCCTGTCCCACGTCCTTCACCTTCTGTCCCTTTATCCAGGGAGCTCACCGGTCGCCTGGTCCAGCAAGCACTCCCTTGCCTCCCTGCTGTGGGCAATTCCTCCCGATTGCCCACAGGGCTCTTCCTTTAAGCTCCTCGCCGGAAGCCCACCTCCTGCTCCCGGTGTGTCCAGTTGGTCTGAGTCACCCCTTCCTGGCTTCCAAGCCTCATTATCTCCTGACCCTAGCTGCAATCCCATCTCTAACCAGATTTAGACAGGGTGCACCTCTTCTGTGCCAGGAGACCTGAGACTCAAAGGCGCTCAGTCTCCCTGGGCCAGGGAGGATCTCCTTCAGCTGCAGCAGTATGAGGGGCTTGTGATCCGACACACAGCTGAGCGGGTCTGGTGCACACGAGCCAGGACGTAACACAGCACCTAGCTGTTTTCCCAGGGCTGGCTGCCCTTTGCAGAGCTCCCAGCCCCTGGAGGGCCTCTCGCTCAGGGTGGCCACACAGGGGTGGCAGCCAGCCCCGACGGAGCTGGTGGGATATCGGCACAAACAGCAGCGCCGGTTTGGTGGGGGAGCCCAGAGAAGAAATGAAGGCATCCCGAGGGAAGCCCCTGGTCCAAGGAGGAAAGCACAAGGATCTGGCTGAGTTCAGAGGAAGAGGATGAGCGAATGTGTGTGGGGGGAGGGGGGAGTTGGAGGGAAGGAAGGGAGATGAGCTGTCCCCCCAAAATCCTAAAGCCAGCTTGGATGGGATGACGACACGTTACTGACCCCTGGATTCTATTGTTGGAACATTCCCTTTCCATGGTGACACCGGTATCTTAGATAGTGGGGACGATCAGCTGCCCAGCGGCTCAGCCGGAGCATGAGGCAGGCAAGGAGCCGCCTTAGCAAAACCAACAAGGATGATGCTTAAGGCACTATCGATGGTGGTGCCTTTGAGCGTGTCATGTACGGCTGACCCCCTGGGATGGAGAAGCTAAATGGGGAGCTGCTGTTCTCCCTGCCTCACAACACAAGAGCAAGGGATTGAAATGTGGCAAATCCAAAACAGATGCGAGGAAACACGTGTTCACACAAAGCGTAATGAGCCAGTGGAACTCATGGCCACAGGAAGTTGCTGAGGCCGAGAGCTTAGCACAGTTTAAGGAGGGGGTTTTATGGAGAACGTCCAAGGTTATCACAGTGCACCTAGGATCAGATTGGAGCTCTTCCAAGCTCCGCTCCCAAAATAAGCTCCACCCATCAGCATCACCAAAATGAGACCCCATTTTCAACATCCGGTCACGGACCTCACGGCAACCCTGGGCTCCATGCGCCTAGCTCCCTGAGTGGGGAAAAGTCAAGCTGTGGGACCTAACCCACACCACCCAAATGAGACATTGTCACTCAGCGAATCATGCTGCCCTGTAACCCTCCGGCTCCATCCTTACACAGGAGATGAAATCATTAACAGTGTTGCCATATCAATTATCATCACTGGACATCTGAGTTATCCGCTGCCCCAGATGAGTGGGAAAGTTCACACCTCTCCGAGACAGTCTCTGCCAGACTCAGCTCCGCACGGCTTACGCGCGGGTCACAGATTTGAGGGTTTCTTTGCAGCCAGAACAGCTTGAGACGGCCTTTGTTTAAGAAAAGGAAAGCACAGATTCTGGAGAACAAGCCTTCCATTTCAGAGCAGGGCTGGCAGGCGTAGGCTGGCTGTTTCGAAGCCTTGCCATTAATGCTCAAAAAGAGATCTGGAAGGGATCGAACCCCTCCTGCTCCAGGATCGAAGCCAACCTGTAACTATCAGAGGCCAGGTCTGAGACCGGGGTGGGGGGCAGATTATCCCATCTCAGCTCCTGCACTGTTCTTACACCTTCCTCTGCAGCAGCTGCTGCTGGCTCTCGCCAGAGACAGGATCCTTTGGACTAGCTGGACCTTGGCTCCAATCCAATTGCTGGGGCTACTCAAAGGCCACTTCACCAGAGATTGGGGAGACAGAGCTTACCGAGAGGTCAGCAGGAAGCACCGGACTAGGACACGTGAGGTGGGGTTCTGAGTCCACCTGTGTTCCTGACACACTGTGGGAGCGTGGGCAAATCCCTGCCCCGCCCTCTGCCTCAGTTTCCCCATCCGTAAAAGGGGGGATCATGATACTGAGCTACCTCCCAAGGGAGGGGTTAGAGGATTGTTAACTGCGGCTGCGATGCTTTCTCAGCCAGCTGCCTTGATGCCAGGGCTGGGAGAGCTCAGAGCTGCATCTCGGACACACTCCCGAGGGGGACACCGAAGGGAGGGGACACAAAGGAACACGCTGCCAACAAGGGAGCTCAGCTCTGGGGGTTGGTTACAGTCCCAAAGGGACCAGAAACAACGGCTGAGAAACATGCAGCCGACGGGGCTATAGGGCCCATGGCCCGGCCAGTTCAGCTGGCGACGCAGCTGTTGGTTCATGGCACATGTACAGCTCCCAGCACAATGACACCCCAGTCCTCACTGGGGCTGGCAGACACGACCACACTACACATAACAGGCCACCCGTCCTGCTGGGGGCTCAGCCCAGCCCAGGGCACGACCTCCTGCCTGCCCAGAGGATCCTGTGTGTCCTGGAGAGCCGTGCAAGGGGATGGGGCAGCTGAGTGGACGTTAACCCCTTGTTCACCAGGGACTGGGTACAGTCCCTGTTACCACACAGGATTACATGGCTGTGACGGTGCTGCCCGTGGGAGCCAGCTGAGGTTACTCAATTAGGGTGAACTGCAAACAAAACGGGGCAGACAAACCCCAAACGCTGGTGGATAATCCAATACTTAGATCTACCAAGCCAGCACAGAACAGCTTCTATAGCACCTCACTGGTTACTCAGAGTCCAACCAACGCAGTTCCCTTAAAGAGCCCAGCCTCAGGCCTCCATCCAGACACACGTCAGATATGATGATGATTACTGAAAATCTTCTCTCATCATATAAAAGAAAAGGTTCTTCCAATCCCAAAGGATCAGCCACCTACCCAGGTCCAATTATAACTTAGATCTTACCCACAATACACGCTATAGCCAATTCTTATTAACTAAGCTAAAATTTATTTAAAAAGAAAAGAGAGAGAGTGTTGGTTAAAAGATCAATATACAGACAGATTTGACTTTAATTCTTGAGATTCAGATACATAGCAGAGGTGAGTTTATAGTTGCCAAAAGTCCTTTTAGAAATAGTCCATAGGTTATAGTCCAATGTCCATATTCAGGGTGACTCCAGTCAGTGACTGGGGATCTCAATCCTTATGGCTTAAGGTTTCCCCCTCTTGAAACCCAAAGCAGATCCGAGATGAAGGATCGTGTCCCAGGGTTCTTATACATTTCCAGCAGCCTTTTGGCCTGAGAAAACAATAGGCTTAACCCTCCTTCTCCCAAACATCCTGGCAATTAGCACAGGGTAATTTATCCATTAAACAGTTCAGATACAGGTTACCACAACCTTCAAAGAGACATAGAGACAATAATACTATTTCACTCAAGTGTCTTCCTAAATGTTAATATTTCTTTTTTGATCTTTGAATCAAAGCTATAGCAATAGACAAGACTTGTTTGCTCACATCACAAGACCTGAGCAAACATCTCCCCTTCTACCTCTAACAGACTTGCATTTCAAAGCTCTATTCATCTACATATCTTCTTAACCAGTCACTAAAGTTTGGCCATGGGTCAGGTCAGTCTGAGTTAATTAACTCTTTCTGGCCCTGACACCTTTCAATGAGATATTATATCACACTCATAACGGCACAATGGCCTGATCTGGAAAGGGGCTGTCCCCACCTTTGGGTGCTCAGTGCCTTTGGAGACCAGCCTATGGCAGTTTCTCTTCCTTGCTCTCTCTGTCTTTGCAATCACAGCACCCTTCAGCATGAGGCTCTAGCACTGCCAGGCCTATCCCAGCAGCCTTCCTCCCTTCTGGACCCCCAGCATCTCCTGAGGCCCGGCTGGCTCCTCTGGGCCCCCCTGGCAACCATGTTTGGACAAATTCATCTTCACAAGCTGTCACACCCTCCCCTGCCCTGGGACAAGCCCCCCACCCCCACCCAGCTACCAGTTCTTCCCCCATCTGCTTTGAGCGGCTGCCTAAAGACAAGAAGATTTCTGCCTTCACACATCAGATGCAGTTACATTTAGGACACCCGTCCCCCTCCCGGAGTGTGTAACATCCCCTATGAGGAGAGAAAGACCAGTCCAGACCCAGACTGGAGCTTCCCCAGCCTTCAGGGGTAGGTTTGGGCCCATCTCTTGCTGTTTTTCTGTGTTGAGCAGGTGCTAGGTGCTGTACAGTTCTCACAGGCAGCCCAGAGTATAAGGGACTACTACAAGCACTAGCTGAGGGAGCTCTCCTTTAGCTCCCACGGCAGAGATCTGTGGGTGTGAAGCTGTAGCTGCAGGGCTCTAATCCGGCCTCCCTCCCACCCCACATGTATAGATCGACAGGATCCCACAAGCCCTTCACGCGCCCCACCTGCAGGGGGGCTGCTTTGCTCCTCTCTGGTGGGGGATGCACAGTCCCAGATTAGCACCACACCGGGACCTGGCTAAAAAAACAGCTTGAAATGGGGAGTGCCAAAAGGGTCCCACATCCTGCTGGCACGGCCAGGGGACAGTCCGGCAGCACAGCGTAAAACCCCACGCTGGAATTCAGCCCGGACGCCAGGGTTCACCCACAAGAAAAGCACCATGGGAATTTTACTGCCCGCCAGCCAGCAGGTTCTAGGTATCCTACCTCCCCGGGCAGACGGTCCCTCCGGCACCACAGCGCCCCCTAGCGCCAGGCTTGGTGCTGATGGGCTGCAGAGTGCCTCCTGCTGAAACACCAGCGCTGCTTTCTGCTGCAGCTGGGCAACCTGCCACTTGTACCCTGACCTACTACAGCCCTTCCAGGCCTGTGCGAGCCGGCAGCACCTCAGGCCAAGCTCTCCTCGCTGCTCCGCCCTGCCCGCCCTCCGCCTTCCCGCCAGGGGCCTCCGACCCCAGTGCCCAGTTACCTCAGCTTCAGGTTCTCCATGAAGTGCTCCATGGTCACCTGGTCCAGGAGGACAAAGTCGGCCTTGCCGAACTCCAGGCTCTCCTGCTCGGCCATGCCGCCGGGGGACGGCGAGGGGACGTGTGGGGCCGGGCGGTGGGGGAGAGAGCACGAGCCGGAGGAAATATGACTTTCAAAACCCAGCCGCGAGCTGCCGGGGCTCAGCTTCCTGTGCGGAGGTTGCCTGAGCGGCAGGGAGTGGCGTCAGCCAGGGAGGTGGGGTCATGTGGTTTGAGCCCGGCTGAGCGGGAACCCCGCGTCACCCTCACACGGCACCGGGAAGCACGGCCGGGTGCCCGTCTGCCCATCTCCCGCTGGGCTGAATCCTGCCCCTTTTAGCGTGATGGGGGGGGGGGCAGTTCCCCTGCAGACAGGGGGCAGGTCCCAGGACCCCACCCAGGGGCGCTGTGTGCCATGGAGCTGTGCTCTGCAAGGGGCAGTGCCCCCCAGTATGGGGGGATTTGGGGAGGCCCACCAGCCAGCTCTCCTAGGAGGGTGGGCATGCGGGAGCCCTGCAGGATGGCTCCCCAACCTGGCGGAGCAGGTTCCTTCCCAGCCCCCGGGAGCCGCACAGCCCCCAGCCTGGCCCACTCAATCTGTCACTCAATTCCTCACTGCCCCTATTCCTGCATCTCCCTCACTCTGTAGTAATTACCCAGAAGCCTTCAGTGAGCCGCACTCCTGCCCCCACAGCCAGGCTGGAGCAGGCCCGGCAGAGCTGGGCGTAGAGCAGCACTGGGAGAGTGGCCTGTGGCAGGAATCCTACAGGGCCACGGGCAGAGCTGGGTGGGGTCAGGGCTGGGATAGCAGGG